CCAACACTGAAAATACTAGACTAGAAAAAACAAAGGTACTCACATATCGGTCCCTCTCGTGCCAGAGGTTGAGAAAACGAAAGGGCGTAAGTTTACTAAGACTATTCAAAACAACTTACGAAGAACTGATTAAAGGGACGCTAAACTTGTCTTTTATATGCGCGTGGTGACGCTGAAAGGTCCAATTACAAAACCAATAGAAATACAGAAAAACAGATAAACATTGTAACTAGGTACGTATCTTATTAGGATCGTCCTGAAATTGGTGAACTAATCAACAATCAATAAAAAAAATTAGCCTTTTTACTAGTGTCCTTAACAAACGGTTTGAAGGGACAAGCAGAATTTGGAAATGGCAGCTGTTACACCATTTCGCTGAAGACTCTGAACTGGGTAAGATTATAAAGATCAGCCATAAGGAAAATGCTGACTAAGTTAACGGAGTCAAGGACCCAGTTGTTTTTATATCATCGTACCTGTTCTGCCATCAACAACTACAACGTTATATCCCCTGCCATGAGGACAGAAGTCCTTTCCATTCACCTCGATTTTAGTGAAGCCACATGAGTTTGAAACTTCAGTTCGTCCTAGATCTTCACAACCCTCGCTTCGAATGTGAATGTCCACTGCTGGCCCTGAAGAGGGAAAAGGTGAAATCTCGGAGTACGGTTAGCACGGGGGAAAACGCGAACACACAAGAAGAGACCTTTGAAAATGCCTCCTACTGTAAAATGAGAGACTGAAAATTGACATGTTTCATTCATATCTGGAGGGTTTAAGTCTAGTTCAATGACGTAATCACTACGAGTTAAATTCGCTTTTCACGGGAGAGGGACAAACAGGATAAAATTGCAGGGAAAGAGACAATAAGTTGATCGAAACAAAGACTACATGTAACGTTGCTGTCCAGCCTCTTGCTTTAAAGAGTGACTAACTTTTAATTTTTCCTTACTTTATCTTCTCTGGGTGTAACATTTAAGGTTATGGGAATGAATGAAATAATCAACAACCTAAAGATCAGGCCATTGATTGCATACAAGATTTTGGCAGTATCATAGAAATTGTTTGTATGCATGGTAGAGATGCTCACTAACGTCAGGGTGTAAAGGGTTAGTATTATTAAAGTCGATGTTAGTATTGAGAGAACTTGTTTAATCATGTAGATTAAGTTTACCTTTCATCAATGCAAGTGATAATTGAAGCTGAGCTCGATGCTGGGCAAAATCTCGACGTAACTTTTTCGTGTCCTTCTGCAACTGGTTCAGGTTTTCGTGGGTTTCGTTAAGAGAATTGAAATATGCGATGAGAGCAACAGCACTTCCAATGGCAGGAACACATTTCGAAAATACACTCCAAGGAGCGGCTAAACAAACGACGGCTGACGCAGCATAAACGCCTCCGATGGCCAAGCCTTTATTCTGTCGACATTTGATGATGTCCCTTTTCACGTCTTCAGTAAGTTGCTCGAGCTCGGTGTAAACAGGATTCAGCATCTCCAGTACATTCTCAATTTTCGCGTGCATCGTGGTAAAGTCAATGCCACTTGGCTCTAAGTAAAGTTTTGTTATTATACCTTGAAATACGGGTTCCATTTTTGTCTGTAACTCTTTGAATCTAGACCGATATTCCTCGTAGTTTTCAGCCAAGCTCACAACCTCTTAGTACAGTTTATAACTTAAGCATATTAAATACACAGACGTGAGAAAAAAATTTCCTTTTGCAGAATTTGCAATTTCAGGTGGTATTTTCTCGATCACGTCTTGGAAGTTTTGGACGGCGAAGTTAGATAACTGACCTAACTGTTTCCAGTCCACTGAAGCCAGGCATTGCTTGAGGTAATTGTTGAACTCTTCGTCTGATTTGGATGTAATCAAGGCACTCACTAGGTTAAGACAGCCTTCTGGTAAGCTGACCGACTTCGTTGGCGATGTAAACAGGAAAAGTAGAGCCAGAGCTCGGCAGAAACGAAAGCGGAAGTACTTTCGGTCTTGTGAAGACATCCTCCTTATATATAGTCGCTTGTAGCGGTGACCAGTGAAAAAACTCTGGGACGACAAAGTACTTGAGTAGCAGATGTGATGGAATCTGATTGGGAACTTTACAGACAATCCCAAGATTAAAAAAATACGTTTAGTATAGACGTTGTTTGCGCTCTCACAGTGTTTCACGCGTGGGCTTGGCACCTGCGGTAAAACTAAAAGAACACACAAAAGAACGAATTAAATGACAATCTTTTTTTACGAACAACAGGTTCAGAGTTTTTCTAAGTTCTTACAAGTTCTGTTAGGCTTCCTGACAAGTAAAACAACGAGTGAAAGATTTTGAGTTCCGAGAAGAGACTACAAACTGTTGACAATCTCTTGGTTCTGAACCACAACAGCAGGGGCATATGTGATCACGTGACAAGTAAACTCGACCCAGTGTCCCTAAACAGGAACAAAGAATCATGCAATGAGTGCAGCAGCTGCTCCAGAGTCTCGAAGGGAAGATACGACTGTTGCTGATGGAAGCAGTTCCGACGCAACCGTAAAACTGAGAGGGGTCTGTGAAAATCCCCCATTTATTCCTTTCCAGACTCCCGTTCAAATAGCATCACGTAGAAACGCGAAATAATATGTTCATACGTGGACCTATTTCTTGGAAAAGCAGTAAACTTAAGGGGGTCCTTGGTTTCGAAATTAGAAAAGTTGAAAACTTCTCGCGAAAATGTGTTTCTTGAAGACCTTTCAAAAATCTATCATGATAACAAGTTCTCTTGCAGAGTCAAAAATTGAGTCGTTTGGAAGTTTGCTTTTCCGTTTCCGTGGTAACCAGCTGTAAAAAAAAAATAATAATAAAAGTAACTAGTTGTTTTCCCATCTTTCGGCGCTAAACTGTAAATAGAGTTCCATGTGATATTGGAGTTATTCAAATTTCTCCTCCCTGAGCATCCAGGCCTCAAAAGTGAGTATTACAGTCATGAAAACTTAACTGAACACGAGAATCAAATCGCGCCAATCATTGCCTTCTTATAGTTGTTATCTCAGCTGGGAATGGCTTAGTACTTGACCTGGGTGTTATTTTGCAAAATCTGGGGACTTGTTTATGCTTGTTCACCATGAATGAAATGAGTTTAAGTGAAGAGCAAGTGGTTCCAGACTTGTCAGTGTCAAGTGTATTACAAAGACTACTGCCCAAGTTGGGAGATTGAGTGGGCTGAATAGCTGTGGCGATGTAGCGAGTGGTTTTAATTTCATTATGTACACAAGGATGAATTCTGATGGAAACTCAATGGCTCCAAATGTAGGTTAGAGATATAGGATGCCCGTGACACTTGCCACCATTTTGAAAATCTACAAAATACTGAACAAGAACATCACAGAAAGAGAATTGACCTTGCAATCAACCCGAATGAAAAAAGCAAAGAAAACCCAGAAAAGACTTTGAACATACACATTTTGACTAATTTTTACCAATATAGTGGGTTTTGTGCGAAAAACTAGCTTGACCATATTTTTCTTGACTCTATTAACTTATTTATGAAAATTATGCATTTCCTGTGCTTTTCTGGTGTTCCACCTTCAATTTTTAAGTTGTATCTGTGCAATCATCACCAAATTGGTACAGATATTTCCCAATTGACATTTATGAAGATATGGAGGGAAGTGTTATTTTGTTTAACATACTGGAGTATCAACAAGTTGAACGTTTTTTTAGTGCTTTTTATACCACGATGACACCTATAATCAAAACCAGATTTGGCTTGATTCATGATTCTTAAAACCAGGTCAGTTAGATGTAATTTGTGCTTTTAATTTGAGGGGGCAGAAGATAGTTTTGAAAATGATTGATTCTTTTTTATTGTTAAAAGTTAACTGTGAATCACCAATTGTGGCCACCTTCACTCATTGGCTGGTACAAAGAGTCATCCACTTCCCTCACTTTACTTTGAGTGTTTTTAATTGGGGGGGAGGCATGAAATCTCATATCATTGACGTATCCACAATAGCAGCTATTTGGGCTCAAAGAAATTTGAGAAGGAAACAAACAAACAATGAGGTCAGTTTCAGCATTCAAATAGACAATAAAATTCCAGCAATGCTGATGCTATGGGGTAGACTCACTTTTCACACATATTCAACCCTTTTACTCACGATCAGAAAGTTAATTCTTCAAAGGAATAGCATGCTTTTCTTTGCTAGCCATTCTTTAGAATGTGGTCCTTTGTCAAGACAATCTCCTCTAGAGGATAAGTTTCATAATTCTTATCACCTGTCTGCTTTTATTTAAGAGTAAAGTGGTCAAACCTCATTATTTTAGGGTGTGATCAGCATGTTAACTCCCCTAAAAAATTTGATACTCTGCAGGAGTGACCAAAAAGGAATTTCTCCTTACAGTGCAGGTTGAATTTCAAGCTGAAAGGTATAAGGAAAAAGTAAACAGATCAGTTTTACTTTCTTCTTTATTAATTGTTACAAAGAGAAACCTTCAGCTCACATTTGCTGAAAATATCAAAGGGGTACAGTAAAGAAGCCTCGTGCCAGAACCTTAAGTTTAAGAACCTGAATGCCTTGATCACCACCTCAGGAACTTTTCATGTTCATTTATAGTCATGCAGCACAGAAAAACATGGAGGCAATACCCTATGTTAAGACAGCAAACTTACTTTTATGTATATATTTTTATTGATAACAGCCCAAGAATTCTAACTAATGGTACACAAAAGTTGCTTTCTGCAAGATTGTTTAAAATAATACTCTTAACAAATTATAACTGGTTGATTAGTGGTGAGGAAAGCCCCAACTCCCCTCAATTACCATTGAGGTAACAGGGACTTGATATGTGAACTGGTTAAAATATCCTACCTACCTCTAATTCACAACTTGTATAGTTATTTTTGTAACTTAAGCTACTGATTAAGAGTAGTATATAATACTTACACACTTATAATGAGTCAACATGGTTATGTGGTTCTGACTTAGTATTTCTTGTGAGTGTTCTCCACTACCCCAAACTCTCCTGTTGAACTGAATCAGGGAACTTATCAGTGTCATCAACACTAATTGACAGTATAATCAACACTAATCCCTCATCCAATTACAAAAAACTGCCCCTTGAAAAAGGTGAACTTAAGTAATAGGGCAATGTTGCTCTTTCAAAATTTAGGCTCCCATTTAAACCAGCTTGTAGTTGAACTAATCCAACCTGCTTTATTGTTGCTAATAAACAGGTAAAACATTTAAATTCTTCTTGCACACACATTTATCTCTTTCTGTCTTCCAAAGAGTACATCTAGACAAAACAGTTTGTCAACATAAAAATTAGCAGGAAGCACACCTATGCCATACTGTGAAGCTCAGAGATGTTATAATTTGTGTGCTAAGGAAGAAGCAAATTAGTAATCAGATGGTAGTTTTGAGGTCTGTTTAATGTACAATTGATTGCCAGAATTGAACAATAATTTTTATAGTTATCTGAGTCTCATAGTAAGTTAATCAAAGATGAGGGCATGTGTAAAGACTCTTCCTCCACCTGTGGTAGGTAAGGTTCAAAATTCCTGTAACACCCTTTTTTCTTGAGTCTTGAGGTTATTAAATTTGGCATGAAATTAAAAAAGAAATTGTCATCAAGAGGAGCATATCTAATGAGGAAGAAGAGTTATTGTTATCATTATCTCTCCCCATTGGCTAAAATGTTGAATTTGTGTGTGAGGGATCCCCCCCCCCCAGCCTTTCTTCCTTAACCCCTAGAAAAAATGAAAATGAATTTTATTACTTAAATGCTAAGGGAATTTTTAGCATATCTCATTTGGTACCAGACCTCTCTTGTGCAATCCACAGTGGTTTGGTTATACTCCTACGTATCCAACGAGCACAAAGGACCCTGAATAGTCCGGCATTATGGGGTCGGTAGCGCCCATTCTCTTGAGAGTGTCAGGTGCTGATTGTCTGAATTTTGAACCCTCCTCTTGAATCGCCACTTGAAAAAAGGTTTTACTGCAAGGACCTTAGGGACTTTTGTCAGGAATAATGAACGAAACGTCTGCATAATTAAGAATGGTTGGGTTACGAGTAGTTTCAGATGTTTAATCGTCACTTTCCCCTTTCAGTCAGTTTGTATTAAAGGAAAAAAGCATGAGCGGCCCAGTTTTCGCCAGTATTATATATTCTGCGGTGAGTTAATGCTGCTTTAACTCAGAAATGCTTGAATTTTACAAGACCACAATTTGGTAAGAGCATAGAGGTTGCAAAATTTTTAAGTCAAACACTGCAAGTATCCTTTACAAATGTCATTTAGGACATTAATTCTGTGATAAATGCAAAGAAAATTGTATTCGATGAGATAACAGTAGATCTTTAATTTTTCTTAGGGAGTGATTACAAGCTTGTTTTACTTATGCTGGGTTAAACGGAGCAACGTCACATATTGAATGTTTAGGGTGCAAAGTACATAAAGATGACCATTGGAAGATGGACTTTGATTTAAATTTTTACCAGTCTGCGATGTTGAAAAGAACCTTGAAGGAAATTATGGAACGTTCACAAAAAAGAATACAAAAGAGAAATAATTCAGTAACTTTGAACATAGACCTTCAATAAGTATTGGACTTGACAATGAACAATAGGGTACTTAATGGTATAGTGGCTGAGGGAGCTTTCATCAAAGGAACAGTACGGCTAACTTTTACAGAAAAAAGTCGTGACGAGGTGCATTTCTTTTGAGTGTTCAAATGATTTTGTGGTCCATGTAATGTTGAAGGATTATCGACACTGCTTTCATGTTGGCTGAAGACTACTGCAACCTTTATTTGCGTAGGGAAAATTTTTGCTTTAAGCAGCATGCGTGATATCAATGAATTGTAGAAATATTGATATTAACTTTTACAGATAAACTACGAGTAGATCATGAGAAAATATCAAGGACAGATTTCAAAAAATGAATTAAATGATATGAGATCAATTCAATTATAGTCTTTCATGTAATTTCTACAACTCAGGACAGGCTACATGCTGCTTTAGAGAAAGAAATAATCAGTTTGTCAGGCCTGTATTTCTCACATTTGAGATTGTGGTTGATAAAGACAAGTGTTCATGTGTTCATAATATTTTGTAAAGGATCTTGAAAAGAGCGATCAGTCAGCAGTTTCAAGTGAATTGTAAACAGTCAATCTATTTGAGACGCAGGTGGGGTGGATTTTTCACTTGTTGGGACATCAGACCTAATTTTGTAACTTTGTTTATGAAAAATATCTTGATTTCTTCATTTTCAGTTGGCAAATTTCTTGTGATGCCGTGCGACACCAAACTAATTAGAATGCCTATGTAGTAACTGAAAGAGTGGAAGAACCACCAGTTCAGATTTTCTTCCCATCGAGTTAGTTTAAATAAGTCAACAGCAGTAAATTGCATTTATTCATTTGTATTGTAACATAAGACATGTTGTATGTCAATGTGCATGCTGTGCACTGTACTTATTGCTATTAAGTACATGTACATTTAGAGTAGGAGATACCTAAATCCTTGGTGAATTGGGAACGCATTTCTATGTGGATTTGGGAAGCACTGTATTAATGACTATTATAAACAGTAGATTACAATCATGTAACTGGAAGATAAAAAAGCATCATTGCTTGTCCACTCTCAAGCTCAGTCTATAGTTGAAGGGGATACTCTCATCCCCTAGTGATACATGTATCCCCTCTGTTTTAGATTTCGGGGAGAATTGTATTGCAGATGAAACTGAACATTAATTCCCAGGTATTGGAAATGAGAGGGCAGAGTGATGGTCAAAGTCTTTTACTGCCAGGTTTGAAGGAGATAAGAAGAGGTTCTTTTTGAAAGATTTGGTAGAGATCAAAGACTGTTGATCCCATCATTGTAAATCCGGCAAACAACTGACCCTGAGCTCTTAAGGAAGTTTGATTATCAGGAATATCTTATTAATTGGCTAATATGAATATTTTTTGGTAACATTTTGCTACTCAAAATGACAAAGTACAAAAAGTTTGTTCCTAGCTTATTCAGCTCTTTGTTTCCAAATGTTTGGACTATTTTTCTTTACCTTTACATGCCAGAAAAAGTACTAGATCATTTTCTGTACAATGTGCAAGCTAATTTTGTGTTTAACAACAAGTTGTTGTATGCTTTCAAAGAAATCAGTCGGTTAGTGTTCTCAGTAATATCTCATTCTTATGATTGACTATCCTCTTCACGCCAAATTCTGCATCAGATTTTGCGAGCACTCTGTGCAGCAAATATGGTCCCTGGTATGATGTTTTCTATGTTCTCGAGTGACAAGAGTCTCTTGTCTACTGAAGTTTTAAGAATTTATTAAGATTGCCCATAGTTTTGGCAATTTGTACGGATTTTGCAGAGTTTTTCCGTTGGAGATTCAAAACTCTTTCATTCAAGGTCAGCCATTGCTTCATAGTGCTGGGGTGCCTGTGCAGATTGTTCATGGGCCACTTAAGTAGACCTTCATTTTACCTCCGCGAAAGAGGCGCGGAGCACCTTATTTCAACGGGTTAGTATTCAGACTTAAACGTAACAAAATAACAAGAAACATATGGTGAACGATCCTCGCAGTAGATAGCGCTATTTAAGCAATAGCGAAAAATCAGACCTGAAAAAAATCAGGCCTGGACGGGATTCGAACCACTGACCTCTGCGATACTAGTGCAGCGCTGAAAAAAATCAGGCCTGATTTTTTTCAGGTCTGATTTTTTCGCTATTGCTTAAATAGCGCTATCTTCTGCGAGGATCGTTCACCATATGTATCTAATACCGCAGTTCAAAATATATGAACTTCATATATTTCATTGTAACCAAAATAACAAGAAATTAATATTTTCTAAGAGATTAACGGACCATCTGCTAGCATACAAAATTTAAAAGCGGGATTGCATCGCGTTGTAGCGTACTAAGTTGCCGAAGTTGCATAATTTTTAATTGCTCTCTGAAGACCCGGATTACGACGAACTTAATTCGAAACACGAGTCGAGGTTTCGCATAACAGCATACGGACACGAATAATAGCATCGAGGTTTCGAATAATAGCATCGAGGTTTTGACGAACAGCATACGGACACGAATAAGAGCATCGAGGTTTTGACAAATAGCATACGGACACGAATAATAGCATCGAGGTTTCGAATAATAGCATCGAGGATTTGACGAACAGCATACGGACACGAATAATAGCAGCGAGGTTTCGAATAATAGCATCGAGGTTTTGACGAACAGCATCGGCAAACAGCGTAATAAAATTCCAAACTTAATTTTGGCGGTAATCCTCCCACATAGTCAACTGACCTCAGCGGTTATTCAAATAGCTGGCTGTGGAACACTCAGGTAGTTAGAGCAAAGGGAGACTATACGTTAATCGATGACCAATTAAAAATATCGTCGTCCAATCAGAAAAGGGCAATTAACGTGAAGGTTTCTGGCTGGCACACGAGAATATCCCAGACGCTCTAATACTGTGTGATTTTGATTTTCTTCGAGGGCTAGCTCCGGTCTGTTTGGATGAATTTTCGATAGGAAGGTACGAGGAGAATCGTGAATCTTTTGACCTAATGCTGCGAAGTTTGAAAGCGGAGCGATGCGATTTTCGGGAGAAAAATCGCTCGGGCGCTGGAACTCTTTCAAAACAAGGATTCCGCCCTTGTCTTTCTATATTGTAAGTGACAGTCAACGACGATCTCGACTTATTCAAAATCGCTCAAAAAATCACTTTTGAGCCAAAAGGACGACTATACACCACAGGTAAGGTAATTCAACGTTTATTTATCATTGATTTATATACATAGTCAGCAATATATCACTATAGGTGAGGCAAACGGAAAATCTGGTACATTCACTATAAAATAACAATCGGCTACACAGATTGTATGGGCCCCCCCGTGGTTAGAGAGACTTGCCTTTGAGTTTTAAAAAGTTTACAATGTCACACATTCTGCTCCCACCATGGCCTGTAGTACAGGTGTCCTAGTAGGGCGAGTTCACGCTAAGAAGCGCGCGATCGTTTATTCAACTTGAGGTTAGTGTCTACGATTGAGGGATGAGGCGGGAAAGGCAAGAAGAAGTTTCCAAAGAGGAATTGATCCTAACACTCTCGATTGAATTTCAAGCTGAGAGGGTATGAGGAAAAAAAAAAATATCAGCTAATGATTTCTGTTTGATTAAACAGTTACCAAATTGTAAAGAAGTGTATGGCAGATGAAGTTGAAATGAGAGGGCGAAGAGATGGTCGAAATATT